AGACAGCAGACAATTCTGTACAAAAGCCAACAGGGTTTGCTCGACTTGGAAGACATCATCATCTGGTGTATCACAAAGAGCGATTCTGGGTCCTCTGTTATCCCTTCTTTTTGTGAACGACCTTCCATTGAATCTCAGCTCCCCAATTCTACTTTACGCTGACGATGGTAAGTTATGGTGAGCTTTGACATTTGAAGCGGAATCAAGTGCACTGCAAAGTGATCTCAGATTACTTACAGAGTGGGTGGATAGTAATGGACTAGCATTTAATCTGATAAGTGCCGAACTATGTTTCTCCGCATCCCTGACTCTCCGAAGGTACCCTATTCTCTCTGTGGATCACAACTTTCCTACACCACCATGGAGAAAGACCTAGGAATAATACTCATTGACAAGCTGGACACTAGCTCCAATGATCCAGGAGATGCCTCCAGAGCTTACGCAGTACTGCACTTCATGCACAGGCAACTAGGTGCCCTTACCCCGGAACTCTGAAGCTGTACAAGACCTACATACGACCTCACTTGGTGGTCCACAACGTCATTGCACCACTATACCTGAAAAGAGATGTGAACCTCCTGGAGAAAGTCCAAAGGGTGTTGTGGAAATGAGGCAAAAACCCTATGAGGACAGGCTGAAAGATCTAGGACTCTACTCTCTAAGCTACCGTAGATTACGTGGTGACTTGATAACAGCTTGTAAAATACTAAGTAATCGAAGTCATCAGGTCAGTGAAATCCTACCAAACGGCCACTGTGGTGATCCTCGTGGTATCCCAAGGAGAATCACCCACCAAAGAGCGAAAACATGTGTGCGTTCAAACTTCTTCTCTCTGCGAGTTTGCGACCAATGAAACGCATTGCCTGCTGAGATTGCTACTGCTCCGCGTATTGACAGCTTCAAGAAGAGGTTGGACAGTTACGTAGCGACGCACGGTTTGCGCTCCCCATCCCTGTATGGGTAGTAACATCAATGCAATGCCGGTCATCCGCAGGATATCCGTAACTCCTGCTGAACCCTATCCAATCACTAAAGCAATTTTGTTTGATGCCCCCATCATAGTGTAGTTGTTTACACCATGACAGTAACTGCTTCTAGTCTTACCACTATCCAGTAAACCCTTTTTAGTATGGTAGGACCAAAAAAGCACATTTTCAAATCAGGATAGCTCGTTGGGTCATTATGACATGTAAACGCAACTACCAAACTAAAACGGTAGCTATCGGTTGGGAAGCTCCTTTTTGGAACTACCTGTAATCACATTCTGAATAATACTTTCCACCTACGTATGTTACTCACCGTTAGACAGTCCTACTCCTGAGGCCATGGTGCCGTCGATAGATACTGTCGCGTCAGTGGTTAGTTTGCCTTTTCGTAGCAAAGGCTAGCCGTCAGCTTATGACTAGGTCAAACACGACTAAGGCATAATTACTTCTGGTAGTCGGAGTGTGAATTTATACATTCTCTATCACTGGTTATGCAGTAGTCCACCCAAGAGGATTTATCGATTGGACCCTAGCGCCTGTCATCGCTGATATTTTCGTACACTTTAGTGCCTTTTGTAGGGTATTTAACAGGTTTCGGTTAGATACTCCTTAAAAGGTTTCGTCAGTATGCACATTAAAGCCCTTATAAACAAAGAATGGGCAGCTGTGGTTTTTCTTACTAACCTTTCCAACCATGAACCGCATTTCTAGGGATTAGGGTAGTAGCTGAGGAGAGCCAAATTTGATGTTTGTCAGCAGCAGTGAGCTTATCGTTGTGAGATGATTGATATCCGACGCTTCAGTTGCTCGACATCCAACCTGAATGAGACATAGATATCGGTCCTCCAACTCCCCTTTGTTGTCAAGACGGCTGTATTGAGTCCGAAACGATGCCAAGCAGCAGGATCTGACAGCGTATCACCTGCAGTTTTCAGGGACGGAGGTAGGAAATGGCTGCTTAGAGTGACGTAGCTACTAGTTAGTGTATGGAAATGCGAGGTAGTACCGTTAGGCTGGTCTACTTTGATCATCCCAGAAAGGAGAGAAGTTTTCCTGTGACAACCAAAATGAAATTAGTTTAACCAATATTGTATACAAGATCCCAGGATCTATAGTTATCCGACGCCTAAATAAAACTCGAGAACAGCAAACTCGAGAGAATCAGGTAGGTTTCAGACCTAGACGAGAGTGTATCGATCAGATTTTACGCTCTGACAAGTTGTGGATCACAGGCTTAGCAACTGGTGGCTGACACTAGGTATATTTATTGGGTTGTAAGTAGAATTTGACTCTGTCGACCGTCAGGTGTTGTGGCAGTTTCTGCCTGTGGAAGGAGTACTGCGCAATTATACGGCGCTAATCAAAGTCTCTACTCGAACTCACACAACCGTGTCACGGCTTATCGAGAGTTATCATCGGAATCGGCGATAACTAGTGGTGTCTACGAAGGCTGTCCACTTTCATGGTTCCTATTTAACTTCTTTATCATCATCATCATCATTATCAACATAGGACCAGGCATTACTGCGTAACGGTCCGAGTTGCCACACCTCATATCAGCACATCAAGTAAAAAGGTAGTGAGGTGAAGGATGAAGATAAGTGAATGCAGTCAAAAGAAATATAAAGTATGAGAAGAAAGGAAAGAGGAGTGACAAAATAGTGAGATTCGGTATAGCGTTGTTAAGATGAGGATAATGTGTGTATACATCTGCGCCACTGACTTCGGTTCTGAGCCATATCACCTAGGGTCTCCAACCACTGGTTCCTCTTGTCCCGTGGACCCCAACCACCTAGTCTGCATCGTCCTACATGGCTTAAACCAACAGTCAGAGACTTCATACATTGGTGCCATGTTTTAGTCTGGCCACCTCGGGCCTTTTTCCAGCCTGAACCCACCTCAGCCAACATTGTGTGACGAGGCAATCGGTGACTAGGCATACGTAGTACGTGTCCCAACCATCTCAGTCGATGAAGGTTCACAACCTCGTCGACTGACTTACCTCTTCTCCCTAAAACTTTACACCTAACTTCTGCATTAGTCACATGGTGACGCCACGTAATATGGCATATACTACGAAGGCAACGGTGGTCAAATACCTGTAACCTTCTCATGTCTTCCACTTTCAATGGCCATGTTTCACAGCCATACAGTAGAACAAAGCGGACTGCTGTTCAGTACACGCGACCCTTAATAGACAAACGAATATCACGGCGGCGCCATAGGTGGCGCAAATTGGCAAAAGCCAATCGAGCCTTTTGTATCCGTGCAGAAATCTCATCGGCAACTAACCCACCGGAGTTGATCCTACTTCCCAGGTAAGTGAAGTGGTCAACACACTCAACCACTTCACTCTCTATTGTTAACTAACTGATCTATTTAAGGTTATGTCCATCAGTACATCTAACTTCTTTATAGATGTACTGATGGACATAACCTTAAATAGATCAGACTTCACACGGATTGCTCTATTCCCTGGAGGTCATCTGGTTGACATAGAGTATCCAGACGATATTATTCTGCTGGGTAAAGACGCTAACAAAATCCAGGCTCTCCTGAATGCATTGAGGAGTAATCTGAGTATGTTTAGCATGCGTCTCGCTGGCACCTGACAGATGTAAGATGAAGCTCCATGACTGACTGGTCTGCAACTACTCCCATTGGTGGAATGTGTTGACCACTTCATTTACTTGGGGAGTTGCATCAACACGAACGGGCTGGTTGCTGACGAAATCTCACCTTAAATATCGAAAACCCATTTGACACTTACCAACCTGCGTCACCTGCGATGCTAACTGGCAGAATGTCTGACTATCTATCAAAGGACAAGCACATCGCGCTGAAGTCCGTTGTGCTCTACCGTACGGCTGTGGGACAGCAGAAGACATGAAGCGGTTACAGATTCTTGATCATAGGTATGTTCTTAGCATTGCTCGCGTTTGATGGGATCACTGTGTAAGCAATGTTGGCGTCAGGCGAAGGATACTTAGCAAGACAGGCAATTCGATTGATAAGGTTGTGAACCTTAGTCGACTGAGATGGCTTGCACATGTACTACACATGCTGTCGCCGGCTACCACGACATGCCGTGCTAATAGTAGTTCAATTACTTTGGCAGAGGGTCTAGAGCGGCCAGACTAAGACTTAGTACTAGTCCATGAAGTCTCGAACTGTTGATCTGAGTCGTGGGGGATCCCGGAGATGAAAAGAATCAGCGATTGATGACATGGCTGAAAATAAGTCATAATGGCGCAGATGTATTCACTCCTTGACATCGTCTTAAACTTGAATATTTGCACTAACCTTTATCTTCAGATTATTTATTCTGTTGCACTACTTTATGTTCTTTGATATGAGTCTTTTTCTACCCACCTGTTTTTTGTGTACTACTGTGTAGTGTGGCAACTTCAGCCGATACAGCTATCTGTCTGCCTATCTTTTCTTGTTACTTTTCTGTTCGAAATTCAGATGGAAAAACCAATGTATCTTGGTATCAAGTTGTTCATAAATCTTAAATGTTTAAGTCAGGTCTATTGGAAACTGGTTTACTCCATAAGGTACAAAAGCTACTGTAACATCAGATTTGAAAAGTGTAGCTAATTGGGCCAATCCATTTCTATATGAGGTTCTACGTTGATTTTGTTTTTCTGTTTGCTCGTCTGTATTTGTTACATCACTGTAGATTCCAAGTTATATTTTTGAAATAAATCACAATTATTCCATTGAATCAAGTGATTGGATTTTCTTATTATCTTCAATTTCAAGGATAAATTTCACAGAACAACTTTTCTAACCTTGTTTTCATATATGGCTTATTATGAAGAATCAAACTTGCAACTGAAGAATATTTTTAAGTTTACAAATCTTTGAATTATACACAAGATGTCTATAGACAAGTACAGTTATATTCGGAATTAGCTCTACAAGTAATGAGATAGTTTACATATGACCAATCTATAGACAACACATGTTAACAGATCTTCAAACCTCCAATGTGACTGTATAGTTCAGACCATGCCCAATGAAGGTAGGCCTTTTTTCTATTTGACTAACTATGTTCAATTAGGTTTTTTCATACTAAAGAATTTTTTGAATGAAAATGAAATTGCTGCATTGTTACTGGCAGCTTTAACACAATGGTGTTACTTGCCATCAGCTAAATGCAATTTAGGCACTACAATTAAAACTAATAACCGTATGTTTACTATCTTATAGTTGAATAATTTATGACAGTAATTTCTTGTACTGACCCATTCTATATGAAACTCCGTTGGATAACTTTGGGATATCACTACCAGTGGAGTGAAAGGGTAAGTCTATTTCTCCAAAATAAGCATACGTATTGTGTTGTATATTCACATTATTCTATGGGTTGTTTGTCACCATCCCTGGCGCTGCCGTGATATCCGATTGTCTATTAAGGGTCACGTGTACTGCACAACAGTTCGCTCTGTTCTGTTCTACGGCTGTGAAATGTGGCCATTGAGATGTTTGACCACCACAGTTGCCCTCGTAGTATAGGCCGTAATCCGTGGTGTCACCACATCACGTGAGTAACGCACAACTCGGGTGTAGAGGTAAATCAATTGACATGGTTGTGAACCTTCATCGACTGAGATGGCTAGTTGGGACACGTGTTCAGTATGTCTAGTCACCGATTGCCTCGTCACACAATGTTGGCCGAAGTAGGTCCAGGCTAGAAAAAGGCCTGAGGTGGACAAACTAAAACATGGCGCCAATGTATGAAGTGTTTGACTGTTGGTTTGAATCACGTGGGGCGATGCAGACAGGGTGGTTGGGGTCCGCGAGACAAGAGGAACCCAGTGGTTGGAGACTGATGAATCATGACTGAGAACCGATGTGAGTGGCGCAGATGTATCCACACACACACCTTATCCTCATCTTAACGACGCTATACCGAATCTCATCATTTTCTCATTCTTCGTTTCTTTCTTTTGGTACTTTATATTTCTTTTGACTGAATTTTCTTATCTTCATCTTTCATCTCGCTACCTTTTTACTTGATGTACTGATATGAGGTGTGGCAAGCGGGGCCGTTACGCAGTAATGTCTGGTCCTATGTTGATATTGATGATGATGATACGCAGCTCAGATAAACAGTCAGCGACTTCATGCACTGGTACTACAATTTTTGTCTCGGAAAAAGCTCCAGATAGTCTGTTCAAGATACGATGGGAATGTGTAGAACTACTGACTTCCTTATCATAACGAAATCCTACAAGCGTAAAATACTTTTTAGTGTTGAATTCATCTAAACCGTACTGAGAACTGATTACTTCTTAAGGGGGAAAGTGTGGGATGATAGAGATTGACACTTGGAAATCATAAATGTGTCGACTGGAAACCAACCTCAGTGATGTCCATTCGTTCAACTTATCGTATACCTCGCTTTCTCTATCTCATTCCCTTGTTCACTGAGTCTCACGTCCCGTTTGTTGCTCAACTTCTCTATGTTATTTAGAGGCTTAGTTACTTGAAACTGTTGACTACTATACAACCCATCTTTTTCAATATTTCCTGTTGCCCAATTCAGGTGGCTGTATCACTGACGTATCATTTGCAGATTAGAAAGCATCTTGAGATGTTAAGCTAATGCAATTTCAAAAGGTTGCCTAACTAGTTCGTACAGCATTGAAGTGAATTGGTTGTTTTTACAACACTTAGTAGGTTAATCATCGACTGAAACAGCTGAGACATATGCTATGCATTCCAGGCGACTGTCTACCTCTTGTCGCACAATGTTAGCTGAAGTAGGTTCATACTGGAAGAAGGTTGTGAGCGGTCAGACTAAAATATGCCATCATTGCACGAAATCTTTAACTGTTGGTATGAGCCATGTACGGGGTGCAGACTAGCCGGTTGGGGTCAGCGTGACAACAGAAATCAGTAGAGTTGGAACTTCTGGGTGAAGAATATGGCTCAGAATTGGTGTCAATGATACAGTTGAACCCATATATCATCTTGATGGTTATAGTGAATTCAGTATTTTCTCACTCCTCCTATCTTTATTTTTTGCTACTTTCTTCTACTCTTGACCGATTCTTGTCTGTTTCTTTATGTTTCATCTTGTTGCTTGATATGCTGATAGGAAGTGCAGCAACCTGGAACGTTGTGTAAATCATGTCTGTTTGTATTTTGGTACCAATGTATGAAGTCTCTGACTGTTGGTTTGAACCATGTGGGACGATGCAGACTAGGTGGTCGGGGTCGGCGGGACAAGAGGAACCAATGGTTGGAGACTGACTCTAGGTGATGTATCATGGCTGAGAACCGATGTGAGTGGCGCAGATGTATCCCCCCACATGCATTATCTTCATCTCAGTGACGTTATACCGAATCTCACCATTTTGTCACTCCTCTTTTCTTTCTTCTCATACTTAACATTTCTTTTGACTGTATTATTTTGACTTCATCCTTCACCTTACTACCTTTCTACTTGATGTAGTGATATGAGGTGTGGCAAGTGGGGACCGTTACGCAGTAGTGCTTGGTCGTATGTTGATATTGATTGGTTGTATTTTGATGACGATGACTCCTGAAACCTTCTCCAATAAAGCTGATTGCAATATGGTATGTGCGTGCCCATCGGTAAGTTGAGGTCGGTGGACACTGTCAGATAATTTCTATCTTCTTATGTTTGTCAACTGGGATTTACTTCAGTAGCATACTTGCTGCCTACACCTCCAAGACCCCAGGAACTAGCCGTGGAATTTCCAAAAACTCGGCACCATCTTCATTCTTCAGCAATCACTTAGAAAATACATCTTTACCAAAAGGGATGAGATAATAACTCTCAAAAATTTAAGAACAAGATATTCAGCAAAGAGACTCTTTTCAACGAATTCATTTTCAAGCTGTACAATCGTGTATATATATGATATTTGGAAAAAATTATATCCTATGAGGAAAACTAAACACTATATGGTGATGACAATATTAATAGAGCGGATGATGACATAGGCATTTGTGATTATGATAACAATTGAAGAGCGAATGACAACAAATAGATTATGTAATATACGGAATGGTACATAGAGAGTATATAACTCAGAAGAGGGTGAAAAAATTGTTGAAAATGGTAAATCAATTAAGTATTACGTAATGGCATTAGACAAATTGGACAAGATGAAGTCAATGTTTTCTAAAAGGATTAAGACAACTAAGTGAAACAACACCGGAAACTAGTTGAAGTGAAGGCGATTATAATAACAATAATAGTGATAAAGGAAGGATACAAAGGTTAAATTAACAAAGTGGGGGGGGGAGCTAATGGGGTGGGAAAATGTTATGGCCATGATAAAGACAGTGATTGCACATACTTCTTTTGTACACATAGATCAGGTCTTAGTTCATGAATAGCTAAAGCCTCTGCTGTTTTAAGGAGTTGAAAAGGAAGAGAAGGTGGGAGGTTTGGGCGAATTTGATAAATAATTTCAAAGTCATCGTCTGGATTTGTTGTGTGATGGAAGTCAATCAAATGTTCGAGAATCGAACTTCTAACAGACTTTCTTTCACCTTTATAAAACCAAGCAGGAACATGTTCTCGTTTACGTGTGGAAAGCATTCTCTGGCTACGGCCGATGTACCTTGCTCCACAAGAGCAGGTGAACTGGTAGATGCACATAGAGGTGGCCAAACGAGGAAGCTTGTCTTTGACGCAGGTGGAGAATAGGTTGCGGCTGGTAAAAGTCAACTGGAGTCTTGCTGCGAAGAAAGTCCTATTGATTGATCTGGTAAGACAATTCTTCAGTACATCCGATGCTAGGTCTCCTTTAAACTCTAGGCTCATAAACAATCTTTTCTTTGAGACCGAGTGGATGACCGGTTTAGTGTTTCTTTCCCGCATATTTTTATCAATAAAACGGCTAGGGTAACCGTTTTCGACAAGTATGCTTTTTAAGAAAGATAGCTCTTCGTCGATACAATCGTCACTACGGATACTTCTTATTCGATAGCAAAGAGTTATATACTCTCTATGTACCATTCCGTATATTACATAATCTATTTGTTATCATTCGCACTTCAGTTGTTATTATAATCATAAACGCCTATGTCATCACCCGCTCTATTATTATTTTCATCACCATATAGTGTTTAGTTTTCCTCACAGGATATAATTTTTTCTCAAAAATTTACCAGAAAGATGAATAGGTGTATATAAATGTTAGTCAAACCAGCTACGAGACATTTCACAGTTTCAAAATTAAGTCTTCACAGGTGAGTAAAAATTCATCAGAAAACTGCAGAAACTTATCTAGTTTCTTAACTATTGAAGGGTTTCCGCAATTCTATAAGTAATGAAAAATCTCCACTTGGTCATTGAGAAACAAAAAGTTACAGCGAAGATAATTATCATTTCGACTATTTGTCTCTCTCTCTCTCTCTCTCTCTCTCTCTCTCTCTCTCTCTCTCTCTCTCTCTCTCTTCCATCTAGCTGGAAGCCATACCTTTCGGCCCTAAGTTCTATGCTTTCAATTCGAAAGTCAGTGGACTTGTTACTAAAGTTTAATTCGAGAACTTGATCAGTCTGGTCTCCAGTAAAGTCATCGGGAAACCTAACTAACCGACATATTGTGTCAAAAAAAATCATCGTAATCAATTAAAAGAACTCCAGAAAATAATGAAAATCTTATCATGATCCATTCAGATACAAGATTTTGGATAATATTATTGAATAAATTCGACTACGTTGAGATGAAGAGAAATTTTCTAATCCAATGAATCTGAGATACTCAACTGACCAAACAGAAAAGTAACTCTGTAAACTGCTGAAAAAAATGAAAGATGAGCTAATCAGTAACAATGATTTCTGCAAACAAATTTACCCTTCTGGCAGTATCATTCTACATTTGTATAGTTTAACAAATGTCCACAAGGATGGTATCCTTCTCCATCTATTGCTGGATATGACAAACTTCACATTACTATTACCACGACAAAATAGCTTGTAGAAATTCTTGAACCTGTAAAGGAATAGCTTTTGAGACAGTGAATCTTTTGTGCTCACTTTCATCAAGAATTAGCTGGTTCGTCAGTGCATGAAAGACAACCTAATGCTTTGAACCTTATCAATATGTATTTAAAAGTTTACTTCCTCTAGCCTGCACTATGCGTTCGTAAACACTATATTCAGCTTGATTACTAAAAAGTGAGCACTGAACCATCTCCAGCTCCATCGTTGAACATCTCAAAAATTCTGGAAACCTCGTTCAATGTTCAACCAAACCATTGAAAAGGAGTGAAAATTAAACATTTATGTACAGACGAAGCTTTAGCAAATCACGGTTACAAACCTCAATTGTGTATCTAAATGAAACATGTTCTTAACCAGGTACTCTGCGCTTCTGTTCATATATATCTTGTTTTATTGGTTTATTCATATTTGATATGAGTATACAGGTAAAAGCTCAGCCTAGAGAGGGACCAATCAGAATGTACTTATGTTATCACGTCACTTAGACAGACAGACAGACGGTGGATCAGCTAACCAATAGGATTATTTCAAACAGCAAACCATCTTGATACCTTTGATATAGGGATAGAGAGAAATGACTAGACCAGAAATGGACCAATCAAAATGTACTTTATGTTGCCACGTCTATAGTTCGACAGACAGACGGATGGCGGACCAGCCAATCAATGGGATTGTTTCAAACAGCGAGTTATCTATATATACTGCTTGTATTTTCCTTTGTTCTTGTCTCCAGTCTTTCGACGCCGATACACGTTTCTACACGTCTATCTTGTCTTCATTAATTAGTCGGGTGGGGAATCAACTAGGAAATTGTTGAACGTTGATGGCTGACAGTCGATTTCCGTGCATCGTTAGTGTGGCCATAGCACTTAGCAGTTTTCGAAATTACAACATTACTTTAGTACATGTTTATTTATATTTACCTGATACCGAATCTTACTATTCATTGTGTTTGTAAAAGTTACTGAGATCATATCTTGTGTTGCCCATTATCATTAAATACCTTACATACACTTATCGATTGAGTTCGAACTTTGACCAGACACTTGTCTGGAACATTCTACCACTCTACTTATCTATGTATGAATTGTGAAAATCAGCTGTTCAAAAGATAATTATCTTCACTGTAACCTCGTTTTGTTTTCCAGTGAATATTTATTGCTATTATCGACTTGGCTGAGGCCTATATGGGTTTCATCGGCTGGATGTGCATCCACCCCAGTGAGTGGTGTTGTTTCCAGTGGAACTCCAACCTCGTACCTATCGCTTGAAACGCCGAAGTGTTATGCACTAGGCTATTAAGACACGGTAGCCACCTCCTGTACGTCGTTCATATTATTTTATGGATTTTAAAAGGTGTTTTACTCATAACTTATTTGGTAACGATGTATAGCTTGGCTGAAAAAGGTCTTCAATACGGTGGCTCCTCCAACACTCAAGAGAGATTCTAATCTCCTTGAAAGAATACAAAGAACTGCAACAAAATCTGTTGTGGGGCTAAGGGGAAAGACGTATCCTGAAAGACTTAAACACCTCAACCTATTTACCCTGGGTTATCGCAGGGAAAGGGGTGACCTTATTATGGCATACAAGATCGCCCATCAGGCAGACCATGCAAACAAATCAATTTTGCCTGCAACTCAACCATCTTCACAAGGAAACCCCATTAAGATAGCACACCAGAGAGCCAACACCACACTCAGGTCAAAATTTTTCTCCCTAAGAGTATGTGCTTTATGGAATGCCTTACCGCGACACATCGTTATAGCTCCCTCAGTCGACTCATTCAAGAGACGATTAGACAGTTATGTCACTTCGCATGGACTACCACGGACGTACTCAGGTAGCCACCAACCTCACTGGCCCCTAACTCCCTCCTAACTACCACTCACTATCTCCCTCCTTAATACACCCACATTACCTACTAATTCTTCTGTAGGGACCGAACCCAGGAAACCATACGCGCAACTCCCAAATACTCTTCTTCCGTTCTCATTTCTCTTTTCACCCCTCCTTTTCTTCTCCTTCCCTTTTCTCCTCCCTTATTATTATTTTTTCGTTCTTCTCTTCTTTTTTATTCTCTCTTCATTCTCTTACCATTACCTTACTATTCTGTTTCAGGTACCTACACAGACGGGAGTCACGGCAGTTCCCTAAACTTCCCAGCAACCCGTAACTCCCCAATCACTCTACAAATTACAACCTACTAACCCACAAAACATCCACCTCACCGAAGCTAAAAGCAAGAAAGCAGAGGAGATTTCCTCGTCCACTGCAGGAGTGAGCCGAACAACTGGAACCAAGCCATAAGAACTAGACGTGAGGGATCAAAAACTACCAGTTTTCTACGCTCGGACTATCAATATTGGATATTGGAAGAGTTATTGATTGAACCCTCTCATACATTTGTGTATGACTTACAGTTCGGAAATAATCATTGCATGTCAAGTGAAACCTGTTATTGTTCATCATCCCACTTTTTGTGCTTGAAATTGGTTGTTCTGAGCTATATCGTCACCTAGAGTCTCCAGCCATTGGTTTCTCTTGTCTCGCGGACTCCAACCAGCTAGTCTCCATCGTCCTACATAACTGAAACAAACAGTCAACGGTTTCATGTATTGTATTGATGCCATGTTTCAGTTTGACCACCCCTAGCCTTTTTCCAATCTGAATCTACTTCGCCCAATATTGTATGGCGTAGCAATAGGTAGACTGCACATACTGTCATCGACTATATTATAATACAGCCCGTGTGTTGCCGCCAAAGGGATAGTAGCAGTTGAGGTCACCTTCATGTATGCCTATTATGTATGCGTGATATAAATGTCTTCTATACAAATGAATTTTATTTTCTTAGACTTATGATCCATCTAAAGTGGGAGAATTACCAGCGCTGTTAAGCGAAACTACTCTAAACTGTATACACTTCCTTGGTCATCTGTTAAAGACAGGCAATATTTCTGCATACAATTCTTCTCAATTGTTAGATAAATGCCAAAATTATAAGCCAGAAGCCGCTATAATCAATTATTATCGAACAAAAACGACCATGGGTTTTCATTCTGATGATGCAGAAGTGGATAAAGAAGCTCCTTTAGTCTCGATAAGGTATGTATAAGTGTGATTACAATATTTCTATTCCAATTGCTTAGAAGAAGTAGATTGTGAAACATTAGAGCACTAATTAACCTTTCTGAATTATCATCTTACCAATAATCTTTATCTCATATATGTGTTATGCTGAATTTTTATAATGGTAACCATGAAGTGTGTATACAGCATTACCCACATGAATACTGCCGGAGTAATACAATATTATTATTATTAGTCCCTTGGGTTCCTAGTGGAACATAGGGCTTCAGTAGCATGTCTCCAGTGAACTCTGTTCTCTGAGATCTTTTGAACCTGGTTCCACGACAGCCCAGAAGCTCTCATTTCCTCCTCGCACGATCTCCTCCATGTCACCCTCACCACGGACGTCCAACTCGTCGCTTCCCATGGGGATTCCACTCCAGCAACTGGCCTGACACGTGATGTCCCCAGTCGGCCTTCTCAGTGCATGCCCAATCCATCTCCACTTCCACCTGCATATTTGTTGCGTGATAGGTTCTTGGTTGGTTCGTTCCGAGCCAGAGTTCCTTGTTGCTTATTCTTTCTGGCAATCCATCTGATCTTCAGTAGCGAGCCAGCGTAAGCAGTTGTTGATGAATGTCTGTAGTTTATTGGAAATCCCTTTCATGACGCGCCAAGTCTCTGAGCCATACAGAAGCACTGACTTGAAGTTGGTGTTGAAAATCCGGATGTTATTCCACATGCTGAGTACAGTGGGATAGATCTCCACACTGGTTTCAGGCTAATGAACGCCTGTCTTGCTTTTCCGATTCTGATTTTGACATCCTCGTCAGTGCCGCCTGTAGTTGAAACAGTGCTTCCTAGATAGGTGAAGGAGGTTACTTCCTTTAAGTTTCTCCCGTTGATGGTGACTGGAGTTTGTTGTTGCTGTTGTTGTTGGTGGTGGTGGTGCGGTATCTTAATCACCTCTGTCTTCTCTATATTCACTTGAAGTCCCGTCTTCGCTGCCTCTCCTGCCAACTTGTTAGTTTTTGCCTGCAGATCTTCAAGTTTATGTGACATCAGGCACAAGTCATCGGTGGCGAAATCCAAGTCTTCTAGGTTCTTTTCCGCAGTCTAGCCAGCGTATCCCCCTCTTCTCGCTGCCTACTGTTTGCTGCATGATCCAGTCGACCACAATCAGGAATATCATAGGGGATAGTAGGCAACCTTGTTTCACTCCTGTCTTCACTTCAAAAGCATCACTGAGCTTCCCATTGTGAATTACTTGGCATGTGGCATCTTCATATAGTTGTTGAATGAGGCTGATAAAGGTTTGCGGTACTCCGTAGTAATGAAGCAGTTTCGAAATTACTTCTCGGTCGACGCTGTCAAAGGCCTTCTCAAAGTCGATGAAGTTGAGGTAGAGAGCTGATTGCCATTCTATGCTCTGTTCTTTGATGATGCGAAGCATTGCAATTTGGTCTGCACATGATTTGTAATTCCTGAAGCCTGCCTGTTCCGGTCGTAGTTTTGAATCCAGTGCATCCTTAAGCCTCTCCAGGATGATGCGGCTTAATATTTTGCCTGCATTGGGTGGACAGGAGAGTGATTCCGCGCCAGTTCTTGCAAACACTGAGGTCTTTCTTCTTCGGCAGTTTGACAAGGTAACCCTTCTTCCAATCGCCAGGTACCTTCTCTTCCTTCCACAACAATATCATCATAGGATATGACAATACTTTGTAGCGGTCCAAGTTGATACACTTCATAATCAGCACATCAAGCAAGAATTCACTTAGGTGGAAGATAAAGAAATAACAGAAAGCAGTCGAAAATGGTGAAAAATTATCAAAAAAAAGAGCAAGGAGTACTGTCATTGAGATGAAGATAATATTTGGATACATCAGAACTATGTCATTGATGGCTTTATGCTGTCACGTTAGCCTCAACTGGGAAAATCACATTTCCCTACACTGTTCAGATCAATAGTCAAATGTATCATGGGCTGTTGCCGTATTTCAGTCTGGTTGTCTAACTTTTTTTCCAGCCTGAACTATACTTCAGCTAACATTATGCGATAGAGTAGACGGTGACTAGGTATGCGTACCAAATGTTCCAGCCAACTGAGTGGATCAAGGTTCACAACCTCATTGACCAACTTCCCTCTTCTGTCTAACACTACGCCCGTTTTCTACGTTACTGATATGGTGACATCACGATATAAATTATGCTACGACGGTAATTGAACACCTCATGACGATATTCCACAGCCATATACTAGAACATTTGACCCTTAATAAGCAATCAGATATCATGGCATAAGTTGACAAAAGCTAAACCATATGGAGATTTCGTTGATTACCGTCCTCCCAAGTAGGTGAAGTGGTTAACGCCCTCAATCGCTTCCCTTCCTATTTTTAAACAAACCAGGAGTGAAGACCATTGCTGGGGCAATAATTTCCATTTGGGTAGTGAGAAATCCATCCCAAGTTGCAACTCAATTTGTCCATAAGACTGGATCTTCACCTAACAAGATTGTCATCTGTGTAATCTAGGTCTACTAAGAATCAATCCCCGTTAAGTCAGAAGACAAAAAGGAGACCTGCTTATAACGTCTATGATAAAGTCAAATAAAAATGGAGGGTATGAACATCCGTTACCGACACAACTTAATATAGCTTCCAACACGCCCGCGGTGTTGGAGTATAGAGACTTCAACGGTGATGTACTACCTTGGGACCTCTATCATTACGAGACTCCCGTGAGAATTCTTGGTTGATAGAGTCGAATGTCGCCTCCAAATTGAGGAATCCAGCTAGCGTCAGTAAGTGAACCTGTTCTAGAATTTGACGGAGGGTTTCTCGCTGAAAGCAACCACAGCATTCTGATCGTCAAGCAGCACTTACAACAGTCTTGTTATAGCAGTTTTCCTACGTCCATTTAGACCCAGGTATATGCATACTCCAACCGACGTCTGATTGCTGGCTTAATACTTGGCAACTTTACACTGCCACTATCCAACAAAAGCTTATAATAATATGGTCTATTTGTCCACTGGTGAGTTGGGATCGGTGGATGCCACGTCGGAAGTTCATGCTGGCCAGAAACAGGTGATTGTCTGAGTTTAGTTGTAGCAGACAATAGTAATTGTCTATTCGTTTGGCTAGAATTTCAAAAGTATACCTGGCTGGTATTACTTTTGACTCAGTCTACCCATTTGTGCGTTGAAATCACATCTGAATATCTGGTTCCTCAGTAGGAGATTGAACGGTTTTCGGTAGAACTTGTCCTTCACTTTTTCTGATCTGCAGTCATTAGAGCAGTAAGCAAATGTCACAAAAATGCATGGACGAGTTTTGCCGACTCGTTTCAGTCTTCCCTATTCCGTTGAGTTGAATAATACATAGGTGGCTGTAAACTGGGATATACTCGAGCTGTGCACTTTCTGCCTTACGGACTAATGCTATGCGTATATCTACAACACCGCGAGAACTAGGTGTCGAAGCTCAAAGGGTGAATATCACAGCACACAACCATGCCTCAAGGTGCTACATTGTTGGCCAGCGAAGCTTATTGATCGATTAGATGGAGGGTTCAGACATTGGAAAAAGCATTTCCAATAAACTACAGACATTCATCAACAGCTGCCGCCTACGCTCAATACTGAAGACCAGATGGCCAGCAACAAGGGTCTGGCGACGAACCAACCAAGAACCTATCGCCCAACAAATATGCACTGGAAGGAAGTGGAGATGGATTGGGCATACACTGAGAAGGCCGACTGGGGACATCACACGCCAGGCCAGGCTGTCGAGTGGAATCTAAAGAGGAAACGACTAACTGGACGTCCGAGGCGAGGGTGACATAGAGATGGTATTGAAGAAGCAATGAAATCTTGCAGGCAGTCGTGGTGCCAGGTTGACAAGACTGCAGGGAAGAGAGTGGAATGGAGACGTGCTGCTGAAGCCCTATGTTCCACTAGGAACCCAAGGGAAAAATAATAATATCTTTAAACAGCATTTTCTCATAGGACTTCGTGAACTAGTTTTTTGACTAGCTTACATTATGAATACCATTCATAATTTTTTTATTTACTAAAAACGGTTGATCTATGTTATTTGCCTTCAATCTGATATATTTAATATGATCCAGTACTCAATTTTTTACAGTATTGGACCTACTGCTTTATTCTTACTGGAGACTTCAGAGCCTATTCAATGTCAATATGTTCCAATACACGCAGAAAGCATCAATGAACAAATTGACTATAACTCTATATTACCAATTTTTCTTCATCATGGTGATATAATAATAATGTCTGGTAAAAGTCGCTTGGCTCGTCATGCTGTTCCTGTTATTTTTTTTAACACTATTCCAGAGGTTGTATCAAAATTAGCTGAACGTGTCAGTTATACAATTTGTGTAAATTCATTCAATCAAAATCATACTAAGGATACCTGTATACATTGTAAAGAATGCTGGAAGTATATTGAATCTACACGAATCAACATGAATGTACGCCAAGTGATGCCTGTGCATAGAGATGACTTTGAAGTACGTTAAAAAACAACAACTCATACTCTATTGTTTATTTTTATACCAAAAAAAACATGATAGTAAATAATGTTATTATTATTAGTCCCTTGGGTTCTTAGTGGAACATACCGCTTCAGTAGCACGTCTCCAGTGACCTCTGTTCTCTGAGATCTTTTGAACTTGGCTCCACGACAGCCCAGAAGCTCTCATTTCTTCCTCGCACGACCTCCTTCATGTCACCCTCGGACGTCCAACTCGTCGCTTCCCATGGGGATTCCACTCGAGGGACTGGCCTGACGTGTGATGTCCTCAGTCGGCCTTCTCAGTGCATGCCCAATCCATCTCCACTTTCTTCTACATATATGCTGAGTGATAGATTCTGAAGGTATAATGGAACAATTTTCTTTGATATATCAGGTGGTAATTCCACCCAACCCAGAGCAACATTTCACCACAGTTGGTACTAGGAGAAGTTATTTCTCCCTGCCCCCTTCCCCCGTTTAAACAAAAGACGTTCGCATATAACAGGTGACTCATGTGTTAGCTTACAACCCGACGCCGTAAAACCAATCTAACCGCTAAAGAAACTTCAAAGGACAAACAAAACATGAAACATAAAATTAAACTTATTCCTCAGTGGAATTGGAGAGGCGAAATGACGCTAGTTGGTGAAGGTCTTTGAGAAGCCAATTGGTCGATATGTCTTCTCTCACTCAACGACAGCGAAAGTAAGAATGCGGACATGTCCGAACAATGTTTGAACCTAGCAAAGCTGTCCAGATTGCAAAAGAAATGAGAAGATATGGCATCGAAGTGCTAGGAATCTGCGAAAGCAGATGGAATGGATGTGAACTCACCAAACTGTCATCTGGAGAGTCAATAATCTACTCCGATATTGTCACCCAGACGACAACCACGAGCACATTGAGTTTTGAAGTGGCTATCGTGATGTCTTCAAGTGTATCGAAGGCTCTCTGCAGTGGGAACCAATTTCCTCCAGGATCAGGATCATGACAGCAAGATTCAACTCAAAAGGAAGGAAAGTCACGACCATACAATACTACACTACGCACCTACAGATAATGCGATTCAAGAGAAGAAGGAGGGATTCTACAGACAACTGCAATCAACACTGGACACGACTTCAGTTGGCGACACCAAAATTCTAATGGGGTGGGGTGACATGAATACCAAACTGGGAGCGGACAACACAATCATGGATTGAGAAGCAACCAGTGAAATGAATGAGAATAGAGAATTGTTTGCGGACTTCTGAGCATTCAATGACTTGGTGATTGGAGGCGGTGTGTACAAACACAAGGATATTCACAAAGCTACATGGATTTGATTTCACCAGATAGACACTAAAAATCAGATCGATTTCATCTCAATCTGACGAAAGAAGAGACGACGTCTACTGGACACAAGATCAGATGTAGCTTCACACCACTCACTATCTAGTGCAAGAAACCTTCCAAATCAAGTAGAAAGCCTTCAAAGAAGCTGGTGATAGACCACAGTTGAAGTTCAACACCCAGACCAGAAACTGAAGGACGAAATTACAAACGACATCTTCACGTCAGCTATCAGGACGAAATGGGCGATATTGAGCAGCATCCCTGAAGAAATCTCCGTGGAAGAACACTGCAACTCTTTGAAAGCTATATAAAAAGAAACCTGCATAACCGTATTAGGAAGGAAGAAGAAGAGGCAAGACAAGGAATGGATCTCGACAGACACATGGAAGCTAATAGAGTAGGGAGAAAAGGATGGTGAAGCAGAAGATTAACAACGAAAAGAAGAACTGAACACAACCTATGAAACACTACACTAGACAAAGTGAAGAAGAGTGCACGGAAGGACAAAAACACTTCTACGACACATTGGCAAGTTAAGCAGAACAGGCTGCCGGTAGGAGCCACAGAGACCTGACAACACTATATCAAATAACCAGGTTACTATCTGCGAAAAAACCGATGCAGACGAAACCAATGAAAGATAGTAAAGGAAACTTATTTACCAAAAAGCAAAATCAAAGGAAACGATGGGCTGACCACTTCAGAAAACTCTTGAATCGACCACCACCTCAATTCGTCCACAAATACCACCTGCAGCAACAGAACTACCAGTGAACACAAGCCCTCCGACAAAAACCGAAGTCCTGAACTCCATAAAGTTGCTGAAATCCGGGAAAGCAGCAGGACCAGATGGAATTGGGTTTCCGGTCCAATGCTCAACTAACTGAGCTACTAGGTGGTCGCTGGTTCGAATCCGGTCGCGGTTCAAATTTTCATCTCACCTTCAATTATCACCCAGTATAAACACACCCAAGAGACTTAAAATTCCACACTGAATGATTAGTTATCATATTTCAGAAAGACGATGACCACACGAAAAGGATTGGACAAGGAGATTAAATACACGTTTTTGGATCCTTAATATTTTAATTATTTCTCTGAAGAAGCTCGAACCAGACTTCCATGCGAAACATTGGAATTATTTGATTTTAAACTCGCCGATTTCGGTCTCCCTTTCTATGCAAGGAATCTCTGGGAGACTAAATTTATGCAAGATAATTTGATCTGTGTAACTTCAAGATATGTATAATATCCCTCGAATTGAATCAACATACATTCGGCAAGCTTGTGCATATTCGTGTAGTGTAGTAGGCAATGAACCACACCCTATTGTGTGACAGCTAATAGATAATTACCCGGCTACCGCCTAAACTTCACTAGGTAAAGCGGTGTTTAAACCTGTAAGCGAAAGTAATCAGCCGCCACAACTCCTCAAGAAATCCCTGTGAAGTATCTGACAATGATAAAGATTTCTTCTTCAGTATAAAATAATAATTAAATTACAAGGAAATCATAGATTCCATCAATTTTCACACTCGAAAATAAGGACCGTTAGTAGTTCGGCTTAGCATAGCTTCATTTTGTAATCTTGATGCTGCCTCTAGCGCCAATCGATTTAGTAGTGGACGGATGGATGGTTCCAGAGCAATTATAGCTCCTGTAAAAGTAACAAGAAGCAAAGTACATATCATTGTACTTCGAAGATATATTGTTTAGACATTAGTTTAAATTACTAAATAGTCTGTCGCTTTTACAGCAGTAGTGGAGTCCACGATGCGTGTTTCGTTGTATTTTTGACTCGTCAGCTGGATTTACCCGGAACTCAGTGAGCTGGATCCCAGTCCCAGCCATTATCCACCATTACTGTAAAATTCAAACAATAGGCAATATGGAAGCATCCGTACAGGAGCTCATATGCCAATAGAGATCGATTAGTCCGGTCTAATTAACGACCAGATAACGCAAGCAACAACATAGCCTGAATGATAAAAACTTGTCCGAATGTGTTTAAATCATATAATCAAAAATGTGATGAATTCCCATTCAGAGGTGTGCTTCAAACATTATTTCGGCTTGAGCATTCAGTTTACAAGTAATGGCTACTGCTTTCAAATACCACTCCACTAAATTCGACTTGAGTAATATATTATGAACCCTTTCACAATTCATTTGGCTCATAGCCGCCTGGTATTTAAGTAGTCCATACCGGGTTGGAATGGATCTCCACGGGTACATGGAAACTGATAGATTAGGGAGAGGAAGATGGTGAAGCAAAAGATGAACCAGTGCAGTGCAGGGATGAACAACGAAAAGAGGAACTGAACACAACCTTTAAAACACTATACTGGACAAGGAAGTGAAGAAGAGTGCGCGCAAAGACAAAAGACACTTCTACAACACACTGGTAAGTGAAGCAGAACAGGCTGCTGGTAGGAGAGACCTGACAATATCATATCAAATAACCAGGTTACTATCTGGGAAGAGATCAATACAGATGAAACCAATGTAGATAGTGAAGGGAACTTAGTTAGCGTAGAGTAGAAACAAAAGGCTGACCACCACCTTCAACTCGTCCACAAATATGACCAGCAGCCACAGAACTATAAGTGAACACAAGCCCTCCGATAAAAACAAAAGTCGTGAACGCCATTAAGTCGCTGAAATCCGGCAAAGCAGAAGGACAAGATGGAAATCAGTATGCAGATCTACTGCACCGCACTCAGAATGTGGAACAAGGTCCAGATTTTCAACACTACCATTTCCAGTCAAGTCAGTGCTTCCATGTGATGGTTGACAGACTTGGCGAATTACGAAAAGCATTTCCAACAAACTGCACACATACATCAACAGCTGACACCTACGTTCGCTTGATACTGACACTGAATATCAATGAGATGGCCAGAAAGAATAAGCAAGGAGGAACTCTGGCTGGCAACGAACTAGCCAACCAAGAACCTATTGCGCAATAAATATGGAGAAGAAGGAAGTGGGGACGGATTGGATATACACTGAGAAGAACGTTTAGGGACTTCACGCGCCACGCCGTCGAGTGGAAGCGGAATGGGAAACGACGAGTTGGGCGTCCGAGGTGAGGGTGACATGGAGGAGATCGCGCGAGGAAGAAATGAAAGCTTGTGGTCAGTTGTGGAGCCAGGTTAAGAAGACTGCAAAGAAGAGAGTGAAATGGAGACGTGCTACTGAAGCCCTATGTTTCACTAAGAAACTAAGGGACAAATGATAATAATTGCAGGAACATTCAACTCTTTAGCCCACCCCGGATAGGGTGAAGTTTTCACAATTTTTTGAGTAACAAACGTAAATTCGAACTGTAGCCGGATTTGAACCAGGGATCACCTGGTAGATCAGTTGGTAGAGCATTGGGCCGAAAACTAGGTGGTCACGGATTCGAATCCGGTAATTACATCTTGTCTAGTCCTGAGTGCAGACCAAATTCTATCGATCATATTTGCAATGTGGCAACCAAGTTAGGAAGCTCAGCATCGCGGTGTACATTAATGGATGTTAGTTGGTTGGAGGCAATCGGCAGAAAGCCTTGCCTTACCTAGGTTTTGTGCTTTTTGTCACTCGTCAGTAAGGCGTATCTGTAACCTCAACGGAACTGATGTCCCGCAATGCTGAGCTTTCTAGCTTGGTTACCATATTGCAAATATGCTGGATAGAATTCGGTCTGCACTCAGGACTAGACAACATGAAATTGGTTGCACTCCCATGACCAATCAATATACTGAAAGTATGTTATCCTATTATTCTACAATAGTTTTGTGTATTTAAGATTGTTTATAGCCGACAAGAAGTTATTTTCATTCTTCAAATCTTATTCTCATCTTGATGAGATTTATCAAGCCAGCACAGTGTATTAGTTGTAGTGAAGAGTGGATTTTAAGTATCATTGTCAAGCATCAGTCGCTAAATATAATCTGCAAGGGGACTACGTCGATTTAGTGTACACATTCAATACTCTTTCTAAACAGAGAAATGGTTTTGATGAGTTTGCTTCTTTTCTTTTTTCTCCTATTTTTCAGACTATAGTGATAATTCAATCTGCATACATTTCACTTTTGTTTCTCAATAGTGATTAGACAACAGAAAAAAAAACGATAATTGTACTCTATAGGCTGTTTTGTTTTGTTCAAAATTGTAAAATTGAAAGCTACACCAGTTTATAAGATTCCACACATAGATGTCATCCAGGCAGTATTCTAAAATAAGTGACCTTGGTAACTTACTGATTCATCATACCTGATGGTTACAGTAACAATGTAAGTAGTCTAAGATACCCTCAAAATAGGATGAACAATACCATCTACATCGTGAAGGCAAATAAAATCTAGGCCTTCGTATGTGTTATTCATTGAAGCGCTCAAAGTCATCAAGAATTTCGTGACTATTGATTCGAAAAATGCATCACTTTCTTTTACAATTGCATGACTAAATTATTATTATTTGTCCCTTGGGTTCCTAGTGGAACATAAGGCTTCAGTAGCACGTCTCGAGTGCACTCTGTTCTCTGTAGACTTTTAAACCTGGGTGACATGAAGGAGATCGTGTGAAGAGGAAATGAGAGCTTCTGGGCTGTCGTAGAGACATTCATCAACAACTGCCTACGCTGGCTCGTTACTGAAGCTCAGATGGATTGTCAGAAAGAATAAACAACAAGGAACTCTGGCAACGTACCAACGAGGCAAGAACCTATCGCTGAACAAATATGCAGTGGAAGGAAGTTGAGATGGATTGGGCATACACTGAGAAGGCCGACTGGGGACATCACGTGCCGGGCCCTCGAGTGGAACCGAGATGGGAAACGACGAGTTGGGTGTCCGAGGGTGACATGGAGGAGATCGTGCGAGGGAGAAATGGGAGCTTCTCGGCTATCGTGGAGCCAGTAATGAGCCAGCGTAGACAGTTATTGATGAATGTCTGTAGTTTGTTGGAAATCCCTTTCGCAAAGCGCCAAGTCTCTGAAACATACAGGAGCACTGACGTGACTGACTTAGTGTTGAGAATCCGGATCTTGTTCACGCTTTGTGCTGAGTGCAGTAGATCTCCATACTGGTTTCAGGTTAATGAACGCCACTCTTGCTGTCTTTCCGATCCTGACTGGCTTTGATGTCCTCGTCTGTGCCACTGCCACCTGTAGTTGAAACGATGCTGCTTAGATAGGTGAAAGAGGCCACTTTGTTTAAGTTTCTCCCGTTGATGGTGATTGGTATTTGTTGTTGCTGTTGTTGGTTAGGTATCTTCATCACCTCTATCTTCTCTACGTTCACCTGACGCAAGTCCTGTCTTCGCTGCCATGCCCTGCCTCTTTTGTCAACTTGTTAGTTTTCGCCTGTAGATCTTCAAGTTTGTGTGACATTAGACACAAGTCATCGGCGAAATCCAAATTTTCTAGGATCTTTCCCATGGCCCAGCGTATGTCCCTTTTCTCGCTCCTCACTGTTTGTTGCATGACCCAGTCCACTACAATCAGGAATATCATGGGTGATAGTAGACAGCCTTTTCATACTACTGTCTTCACTTCAAATGCATCACTGAGCTTCCCGTTGTGAATTACTTGGCATGTGGTGTCTTTATATAGTTGTTGAATAAGGTTGATAAAAGTTTGTGGTACTCCGTGGTGTTAAAGCAACTGCCAAATTACTTGTCGGTCAACGCTACGGAAAGCCTTTTCAAAGTCGATGAAATTGAGGTAGAGGGTTGACTGTTATTCTATGCTGTGTTCTATGATGATGCACAGCGTAGCGTTGCAATTTGATCCACACATGATTTGTACTTCCTGAATCCAGTCTGCCTGTTTGGGTCGTAATTTTGAATCCAGCGCATCCTTTAGTCTCTCCAGGATGATATGACTTAATATTTTGCTTGGGGAGGACAGGACCACGATTCCGCGCCAGCATGACTAAATAGTCATCATTTTTAAACACTAAAGGAATAATTTTTCATGAGGTTGAGCTTAAAAGATAAGATGAGTCTAGTAAGTTAGTTAGTCGCTTAGTACTACCCAGTAGTTGTCCAAATTAATACATATCACATTAAAACGTGTCAAAACATGATGAAAGAAAATGAAGTGAAAATAGTATAATGCAAGTGAGTAAAGTAAATGACCACTTTCAAAACAATCTGTAGAGGAAGAGTTAAATTCAACGTTCCACTTTTTAAATGTAATGGTAAAGAGAAGGGATGATGGCTTGATTCAAAGGTCAATCTATCGAAAACCAACCTGGATAGACCAGTTCACTAACTTTAGTACTTGGGTACCTCTTAGTTGTAAAAGAAATTTCATTCACTCGCTGTGTTCCAGAATCTATAAAATCTATTCAGAAGACACAGTAGATGATGAAATCGAAACTTGGAACAACACTAATAACGGATACCCGAAAAATTTATTGATGAAAATCTGAAGGAAAGAATCACTCCTCATACTATTACAGTCCCTAAGAAAATTTTAACCATGAATCTGGAACTCAAAGGAGACAACACAGTTAAGTGCTTAAAAATCGTCTGTCAAGATGTATCAATAGTAGCTTCTATGCTCCTAGACTGAGACTGATATTCTCCAGCCGCCGTCTGACTCGTCAATGCGTGAAGGATAGGCTTCCACTTGTGTCTACATCTATGTGTATCTAAAAGTTCACACTGTCCTGTGGAGGTGACTATAATGGATGTTGTAAGTGGGCCCTCCGAAAACGTGTTGCTGAAAATCACCCGGTTCGGCTTACCAAACGTGAGCAAAGGAAAACGACTTCATTCATATATGAACACTTAGTTGAATTAGGTCATTCAGCACCTCGAGATTCATCCTTTAAAGTAATTTACAAAGTTAAATTGAACTACTGCAAAGGTCTACGCTTTCACTACTTACGCATAGACCTGAAGCATTAGCTATACATGAACAAAAACCGAAACTTTGCATTCGAAGACGTTTTGTGAAACCACTTTTTCTACCTTAGCCTTAACACTTCATTTTGTTGATTTTGTCAGTTTCATTTCACTCCGGTAACAACATTTGACCCATATTTCACTACTTAATATCATTATCATATTATTATTTGTCCCTTGGGTTCCTAGTGGAACATAGGGTTGCAGTAGCACGTCTCCACTGCACTCTGTTCTCTGAAATCTTTTAAACCTGGATCCACAACAGCCTAGAAGCTCTCATTTCTTCCTCGCACGATCTCCTCCGTGTCACCCTCGCTTCGGACGCCCAACTCACCACTTCCCATCTGGGTTCCACTCGAGTGCCTGGCACGTGATGTCCCCAATCGGTCTTCTCAGTGTATGCCCGATAAAGTCCATCTCCACTTCCTTCCAGTGTATATTTGTTGAGTGATAGGTTCTTGGTAGGTTCGTTGCCAGCGTGTGTTCCTTGTCGCTTATTCGTTTTGGCAATCCATCTGAGCTTCAGCAACGAGCCAGCGTAGGCAGTTGTTGATGAATGTCTGTAGTTTGTTGGAAATCCCTTTCGTAACGCGCCAAGTCTCTGAGCCATATGGAAGCACTGACTAGACGTTTATGTTGAAAATCCGGATGTTGTTCACGCTTTATGCTGAGTGCAATGCAGAAGGTCACACTGGTTTCAGGCCAATCAACGCTCGTCTTGCTTTTCCGATCCTAGCTGGCTTTGACGCCCTCGTCTGTGCCGCGTGTAGTTGAAGCAGTGCTACCTAGATAGGTGAAGGAGGCTACTTTGTTTAAGTTCCTCCCGTTGATGGTGATTGATGTTTGTTGTTGCTGTTGGGGGTGTTGGTTGGGTATCTTCATCACACTTACTATCAATTCATTCCTTATTCATTGACCTATTTTGGATATTTCAGCTTAATTATCACTGTTTTACAATTCTTAGACAATACATGTCTCTCATCTCACCACCTGTTATTAATTCACCTCTCCTTATTCGGTGATCCATTTACTATTTCTTCCACTTGAACAAAATACCACATATTTTTCATGCTGACTGAGCATTTTTGGAGAACAATTATTTGTCATCTTATCGAGTATGAACACGACTGTACAGCTTGAGATAATGAAGTCACTGAAAAGAAATATTTCTTCGCTGATATATGTCTTGTTCTTCATCAAAAGAATACCCGATCTGAAGTAAGAGATGGGATTTATAGGAAAATTAGACAGAAGGATAAGTCATGAAGGTGTCGCCAAGTTCTTCAACAAAAGACTCGTAACCCAGCGCTAAATTTGTGTACACAGGCTTTGTTGACTTCTGATGCTGATAAGATGCAGAGTCTTCTGAACACTGAGTAGTAATATCAGAATGTTTGGGATGCGTTTCTCACCACCCAAATGCAAATTGTTGCTCCAGGATTGGTCTTCGACGGTGCCCACCGCCGCTAACAATAGAGAGTGAGAGTAGTGGTCGACCACTCACTTACCTGGGAAGTAGGATCAGCCCTGGTGGCTCAGTGGTCGATGAAATCTCTACACAAATCCAAAAGACTCGATTGGCTTTTGCCAATCGACGCCACCTGTGGTACCGCCGTGATATCCGATTATCTATTAAGGGTCGCGTGTACTGCACAGAAGTCCGCTCTGTTCTACTCTATGACTGTGAAACATAACCCTTGAAGGTCGAAGACATGAGAAGACTTCAGGTGTTGGACCACTGTTGCCTTCGTAGTACAGGCCCTACTCCGTGGTGTCACCACGTGAGTAACACAGAAGTTAGGTGTAGAGTTTTAGGAAGGGAAAAGAGGTAAGTCAGTTGACACGGTTGTGAACCTTCATCGACTGAGATGGCTAACTGGGACACCTACCACGTATGCCTAGCCACCGATTGCCTCGTCACACAATGTTGGCTGAAGTAGGCCCAGGCTGAAAAAAGGCCGATGTGACCAGACTAAAACATGGCACCAATGTATGGAGTGTTTGACTGTTGGTTTGAGCCATATGGAACGATGGAGACTAGCCGGTTGGAGTCGGTGGGACAAGAGGAACCAGTAGTTGGAGACTCTAGGGGATATGGCTGAGAACCGATGTCAGTGGTGCAGATGCATCCCCACATACATTATCGTCATCTTAACGACGCTATATCGAATCTCACCATTTTGTCACTCCTCTTTTCTTTCTTCTCGTACTTAATATTTCTTTTGACTGTATTCTCTTGTCTTCATCCTTCACGTCACTACCTTTCTACTTGATGTAGTGATATGAGGTGTGGCAAGTGGGGACCGTTACGCAGTAATGCCTGGTCCTAGGTTGATCTGGATGATGATGATGACGTTGACTTCTGTTATAATATAACTTGAATAATAAAAATATTATTTTAGACTCACCAATGTTACAATCACTTGAACCAACAACCGTCAAAAATAACGGGAACGTTGACCGATGCGAGAAGTGGAACTGGCATATCTACAAGAGATTATGTTGAATATAGTATTTTTTTTTGCAGATATTGCATATCACTAAAGCTTAGCCATCCTTATTTTATCCATACATTTTGAGATTTAAAAATTCCCTTAGCTCCTAAAAATTCCTTAGACATGTGAACATTGTAGTGTTGTGGCTCATTGGTCTAGACACGACTTCTAAGCTATGAAGTCTCGGGTCCGAAACCGACCCCACCGTTCGAGGTATACGAAGTCAATAAACACCATTACCTTTTACACAATAGGTGTGGCTCATCGCTAGCTGCAAGAATGTGCACATGGTTGTTGAGTGGATTTCGATTATCTTTTTACTGAGTCAAACAACTTTCTACCATAAAGCCAACTTACTATTACACTGTACACTTTGTCTATGCTTATTCTATTTACATAAACTCAAAATGTAGGATTCGTTTTCTTTTGTATAACTGATAAGAATGCACTCAACCACCTTGTACACATTCGTACAGTAAAAAATCAACCACACTTATTGTGTGAGGGCTGGTGATACTACGTGGCTAGTCAGACCTCATTAGGTGGAGCTGGCCTTGAACCACTGAGCCATCGGTTGAAGTCAACTCCCTAAACCAATGAGCCACAGCTCTATACAATGGTTTACTAACGTCATACCAGTTATTCGTACAAATTCTACGACACCAAACTGAAAACATCTTAGTCCAAACAGTTTACATGTCTTGAACCTCACAAGACCTTTAGTTGAATGCTAATTCGAAATGCCCTAGTTTATAGCCGAAGACAGGATGACCATGACTATCTTTTGAAATGCTTTCATTCGGCCACATGTTTGTAGCCCTCGACAGGGAAAGAAAAATTCGCAGCCTCCACCTAGTGGTGGGGATGTTTCTGTAAGAGTGAGGAAGAAATTGTAATGGTCTGGCACTATCGCCGGATTGATGGATATGCAAGGTGCCACCTAGGAGACTTTAAAAAGTTGGTTCTTAACCAATGAGTAGTGTGTAAACTTTATTTATTTGGTTACGAATAAACTAGGGTATCCAGCATTTTGTTGCTCGGCTGGCTTGTAGATCAGACAAAGGATCGGGGAGGAGTCCTCTATGAATAATCACTGTTTCAACCTGGTTTTCTGAACAGTATTACAGTTTTTTATGGTAATTTGCTTGGTTGTCGCCAGCAGAAGAATCAGGATGAGCGTTTCGTCCTATTTGGGACTCGTCCGCTGGATGTACGTGAATTCCAGTGAGTGATGTTGTCCCCACTAAGACTCGAACCTCGTACCCATCGCTTCACATGCCAAGACGCTGTATCCACTATACCACAGAGACATGGTAGCCGCTTCTTGTATAACGGGTATTATTTGCTACTATTTATTGATAACCTTGTAGTTCTCCAAATTACCATAATTAACTTTCAGGCAATATCGAGGCATCCGCATAGGAGCCCATATGCCAATAGAGTTCGAACAATTCCATCCAACAAAACAACGGAGAACTACAAATATATCAATAAATAGTAGTATTACAGTTCATATAATTAAGAAAATGCAAAGTGTAATGTGCTATCTAATTTCTGCAATAAATCAACTCCACTATATCACAAAAGTTAAACTCAGACATTTTAATCATCATTTTATCAATATTATTTTCACATTAACCGTACAGTACTCCACGTTATCACTTTTGAATTCTCCTTTATTTGCATCCTCGTCTAACTTATCTGCTTCTCATTAGTTAAAATTCTGACTTGTTAGGACCATTTTCAGTCGTTAGACAGTTGCTTCTACAAAGTCGTCGTCTAGTGTCAGATCGGAATACTCTGAATCCACATCCATCGTTTAAGCTGACTGCTTTCAACGTTTGAACCTCGAAGTACACACCAAACAGCTGATTGGATTGGTTAGGACTAGAAAGTTTTTCTATTGATGTATGTTGTATCTCAGAGACCCGCATACATCCTAATGCAGTGCTTCGAATATCTTTTCAATCTGTTAGCCCAAAACGTGTGTGCATGCGCTCTCATCCAGAGAACGCGTGACATGAACAAATGTCCTTATTGATATTGATCGTACAACAAGCACTAAAACTTAAGGTGTACTAACCGCTTTTTGCCTGAGTGGAGCTCGGGAATAGCAAGCCCGAGAAAACCAGGTAGGATTTAGACCCGATCGCGGGTGTATCGACCAAATATTCACACTGCGCCAGGTTTGGAACACAGACACACTTACCGACGCCCGACAATAGCTGTATTTCTCAATCTGAAGGCAGCATTCGACTCCGTCCATCGAGAAGTCTTATGGCAATGTCTCCCACTGAAAGGCGTGCCGAGTGAGTACATCACCTTATTGAAAACTCTCTATTCGAAAACTTGTGAACGTGTTAGAGCCTATGGTGAGATGTCCGGGGAGCTGTGCTCGTCGAGTGGTGTCTGTCAAAGGTACCCACTGTCTCCATTCTCATTCAATTTTATCACAGATATTCTTATGGAGGTCTACCTCTCGTCAACTGACTACACAGAGGTTGACCTAATCGCAGGAGAATTTTCGCTAGACCTAGAATACGCAAATGACGTAGTCCTGTTAGGTGAAGACGCTGACAAGATGCAGTCTTCTGAACACTAAGTAGTAATATGAGAATGTTTGGGATACGTTTCTCACCACTAAAATGCAAATTGTTGCTCCAGGATTGGTTTTCAATGGTGCTCCACCGCCGAAAACAACAGAGAGTGAGAGTAGTGGTTGAGTGTGTCGACCACTTCACTTACCTGGGAAGTAGGATCAGCCCTGGTGGCTCAGTGGTCGATGAAATCTCTACACAAATCCAAAAGACTCGATTGGCTTTTGCCAATCGACGCCACCTGTGGTACCGCCGTGATATCCAATTATCTATTAAGGGTCGCGTGTACTGCACAGCAGTCCGCTCTGTTCTACTCTATGGCTGTGAAACATAACCCTTGAAGGTCGAAGACATGAGAAGGCCTCAGATGTTTGACCGCCATCACCTTCGTAGTATAGGCCGTATTCCGTAGTGTCACCAAATCACGTGACTAATGCAGAAGTCAGGTGTAGAGTTTTAGGAAGGGAAAAGAGGTAAGTCAGTTGACACGGTTGTGAACCTTCATCGACTGAGATGGCTAACTGGGACACCTACCACGTATGCCTAGCCACCGATTGCCTCGTCACACAATGTTGGCTGAAGTAGGCCCAGGCTGAAAAAAGGCCGATGTGACCAGACTAAAACATGGCACCAATGTATGGAGTGTTTGACTGTTGGTTTGAGCCATATGGAACGATGGAGACTAGCCGGTTGGAGTCGGTGGGACAAGAGGAACCAGTGGTTGGAGACTCTAAGTGATGTGGCTGAGAACCGATGTCAGTGGCGCAGATGTGTACACACATTATGCTCATCCTAGCTCTTTACCGAATCTCACCATTTCCTTATTCTTCCTTTCTCTCTTCAGTACTTTATATTTCTTTTGACTGAACTTTCTTTTCTTCATCTTCCACTTCACTGTCTTTTTACTTGATGTAGTGATAAGAGCTGTGGCAGGTTGGAATGTTACGCAGTAATTCCTGATTTTATATTGCTTTGGATGGATGGACTTACCGCTTTTGTACGAAATTCCGGTATATAGGTCGTTATTATACTGCTTGGTGTGTAGCTTTTGCCACTTGTGCCCGGACTCACATACATCACAAAGTAACCAGCTACCGAAGGCAGGACTGTTGTTCCTTCTAAATTATTTGTCTAGACCTCATCATGCGTTAGTATGTGCTACTTTCATCTTACATTCCGGTATTTATCGAGTTTCACTCGAATCAGATTGGCGCAAGTAAATGTTGAGCTAGACTCAACATCTTTTGTCGAACCTCAAGAAAGTATCAATGAGCATTGGCTCCACCTACAAAATCTGGCTGCAGCTCTGAAGAACATCGCGCTAACAAAAATTAGTCCTTGCAACTTCTGGATGCATGTCGATCTGTTAAGCCAGGAAGCGAGTACTATGATATGCGCAAGTCGCATATGCGACATGTCACGCAGTCATTAAGTAAGGAAAGTGAGATTTAATAGTTAGAATGTCCAAGTGAGACGAAAGCAGCAGCTGGATTTTGCAATAATCGTAAACTGTTCCAGTGCCTCCGAACTACTGATAGCAAGAAGTGTCAGACGGTCTGTGAAGTAGGTGGTAAACCAGCAACCTTCGTTAAAACGATGGATGGAGCCCCTGGAAAAGCAGTCTGACCTATGCAATATTCAAGCAATGTCAAATTAGGTGTCTTATGCTTCATCATTACAACTGATAAGGGGATATTCAGAAAAGGTTAGTCTGGAGATGAACAGGTCGAGATGCACTTTATGTTTATCAAGTCTACAGTTAGACAGACACGATGAATCAGTCAATCAATATTATTTTAAACGCCGAACTACCTGCATATTTAGATATATTTTCCTTTATTTATTGTCTTCGGTTCAAGTACACATTTTTGAATGTTTATTGCCTTCTCCATTAGTTAGTCAGGTCAGGGACCAACTAGCAGGTTGTTAAACGTTGGTGGCTGATAGTCGATAATTTTGCATCGTTGGCGGCCAAGACAGTTACAAATCATAACAACATTAACCCATCTGAGAGAGCGAAAATCTGCAAAAAATGTCACACATTAAGGCCCTATATAGTAACCGGTTCAGAAGACATAAAGCTTCTCGAAGGGTAAAGTTGAGATTGTAGTTAAACCATCTACTAAACTCTGTGACGTACAGCAGCATGAGTGTTTCACCACGCTCAGATAAGGTCATTGTACTCATCTTCAAAACAGATCTACGCAGTTTGTGCGATAATCATTGGGGTAGTGATCTGTTACTATAAGTATCTAAAATACACGAGAAGCTAACCTGCAGAAATCAGACCGGGTTTTCTTTGGGCAACGGGTGCTTCGATCATATTTCCGATCTCTAATAGGTTCTCGAACACTGTCACCGGTATTCCAAACTAACAATCTATTTCTCGGCATTATGGCTGCCTTTATGCAACGCCCATGCCGAATTAAGTGGCTGTTTGGAGATTTCTTCCTAGTTTATCCGTAGACTCAGCATAATTCACTCTAAACCAAAGGATAGGATTAAGCAGGTTAGAAATGGACTCAGTTTATTGAGCGCACCATTATTCAAAGCAAGTCGCTCATACACGAAAAAGAAAACCTGCTAGCCACTGTTTCATTGTTCGTTACCAACTACCTGACGAATATTTTGAAATAGTTATATCTTAATTTGAACAAATTCACAATATCGAGGTAATAAAAACTTTTTTATTATTCGACGTAATATCCAGTACGAGTTAGCTGGTGATCAAGTTTTACCATTGTTTAAGTCAAACAATGACTTAGATAGTGTGTAGTCTTTTCATTCCCTCTACGACTAATCACTTTAGGGACAACCACAAAAAGATGTAAAAGCTGTAGCTGAATCATTTTAAAGTAGAGTATCAGTTCTCTAAGTGAAAAAAACTCGGTAACGGGACAATTAATAGTCGTTCCTTCAGTAATTACATTTAAGGAAAGACTGGGTCTTTAGAGATCTAGTGCAAGGATTAAGGCTGGCTGTTTATACTGCTATCTTTATGGCTGAAAGAGTAACTATAAAGAACAGCGACCAGAATAGACTTTAAACAACCAACCAGTGTCTCTGAATGTTAGAAATGCATTCTAAAGAAATAAGTATACTAATAAAACATGGAGAGGCTAAAGACTTTTAAACAAGGTGAATTTGTTTTACATATAATAATTTTCTCAGTTTGACATGTATGTTTCAATGGAAAAGTTTCACAAACTTTTATATATTAATCATCATCATTATCAACATAGGACCAGGCATTACTGCGTAACGGTCCGAGTTGCCACACCTCATATCACTACATCAAGTAGAAAGGCAGTGAGGCGAAGGATGAAGATAAGTGAATGCAGTCAAAGAAATATAAAGTACGAGAAGAAAGAAAAGAGGAGTGACAAAATGGTGAGATTCGGTATAGCGTTGTTAAGATGAGGATAATGTGTGTATACATCTGCGCCACTGACTTCGGTTCTGAGCCATATCACCTAGAGTCTCCAACCACTGGTTCCTCTTGTCCCGTCGACCCCAACCACCTAGTCTGCATCGTCCTACATGGCTTAAACCAACAGTTAGAGACTTCAGGTGATTGTCTGTAGTTTAATTTTAGGAAAGATGTGTCGCAGTAACACTATTTTCTACGCTTTTGCTAGAATTCTTTAGCTGAAAATAAATGGATATCACTGAGTGAGTAAAGAAAACAAAAAGAAAATCATTTATTTGTGAGAAACAAGATTTGAAAATGAAGTTTCATCATATTAATGGAGGCTGATTTGCACTTCTACCATCAGTTTGGAATTTTTTCTGGAAACTTTAGAGTTCCTGAAGTCAACTTTGGTAATTTATGCACAGTCCAAAACCCTTCTTGACTGCTATTTCTCTGTGTAATGAATATAGCTTAAAGACAAAAAGTAGCAATTCCACTTCAAGAACATAGCTAACTTCGTTTAAAATTGACTATTGTCCAGATACGATAGGTAAACGGTACCTAAATGCAGTCGTAGAAATAGAAAGGCTATTTCATTGGTTGTGACCCCTATTAAGTATTTTCGGCCAGTTAAGGCTGAAGACACAGATAAGGTTGAGCGGAATCGAAACATGGTTGACTGTCGCTCGAAACTATACTAACTGTGCTCCACTTAAGTAAACTGATTTCAACGTCTAACTGACTCCAAAAAAAAATTCATAAAACATACCACCATCTCTTGGTAACTAGTGATCATCCATTCTAATTTACCAAGATCCATTTTATTCACTTGCTGTAAAGATACAATGAATGCTGCGGTTACATATGGAAGATGGGCTTGGTCAGGCATATCATCCATGGAAGCTAAAAAACAATGATTTGAATAAAATAGATTACCACTAGCGATAACTACTCCATCTTTATCAGCAACAAATATTCCTAGAATACCATCAACCCTAGCGGGGAATAACGAATTCTGACATCTTACTCTGATAGGAACCTCTTAAGGTAGTCACATGCAGACTGCTTGGAACAATTAGAGTATAGATATGAACAAACCTCAGACATTAACAATGCGCAGCAAATTCTGATAACTCCCCAAGGTCGACCTCCAGCTGCCAATCGCAATCAAAGTGAGCGCTTTAAGCAAGGATTTCAAGCGTTGGGAAAATACAGCTTGTGAACTCTCTCGCTTCAGTCTTTTTTTGATAGTGCGGGAGTAGAAAACTGGTAGTTTTTGATCTCTCTCTTCTAGTTCTTAGGGCTTGGTTCCAGTTGTTCGGCTCACTCCTGCAGTGGACGAGGAAATCCCCTCTGATTTCTTGCTTTTAGCCTCAGTGAGGTGGATGTTTTGTGGGTTAGTAAGTTGTAATTTGTAGAGTGATTGGGGAGTTACGGGTTGCTGGGAAGTTTAGGGAACTGCCGTGACTCCCGTCTGTGTAGGTAGGTACCTGAAAGAGAATAGTAAGGTAGTGGTAAAGGAAAGAAGAGAGAATGAAAAAAGAGAAAGAAGAAAAAATAGGGAAGAGAAAAGGGAGGGAGAGGAAAAGGAGGGGTGAAAAGAGAAATGAGAACGAAAGAAGAGTATTTGGGAGTTGCGCGTATGGTTTCCTGGGTTCGGTTTCTACAGAAGAATTAGTAGGTAATGTGAGTGTATTAATGAGGGAGATAGTGAGTGGTAGTTAGGAGGGAGTTAGGGGCCAGTGAGGTTGGTGGCTACCTGAGTACGTCCGTGGTAGTCCATGCGGGGTGACGTAACTGTCTAATCGTCTCTTGAATGAGTCGACTGAGGGAGCTATAACGATATGTCGCGGTAAGGCATTCCATAAAGCACATACTCTTAGGGAGAAAAATTCGGACATGACTATGGTGTTGGCTCTCTGGTGTGCTATCTTAATGGGGTTTCCTCGTGAAGATCGTTGAGTTGCAGGCAAAATTGATTTGTTTGCATGGTCTGCCTGATGGGCGATCTTGTATGCCATAATAAGGTCACCCCTTTTCCTGCGATAACCCAAGGTAAATAGGTTGAGGTGTTTAAGTCTTTCAGGATACGTCTTTCTCCTTGGCCCCACAACAGATTTTGTTGCAGTTCTTTGTATTCTTTCAAGGAGATTAGAGTCTGTCTTGAGTGTTGGAGGAGCCACCGTATTGAAGACCTCTAGATGCGGCCGCACGTAGGATTTGAAAATGGTGAGGAAGAGTTCGGGAGTGAGGGCGCCAAGCTGTCTACGCAGAAAGTGTGGAATGGCGTTCGCCCCGGTTGTCATGCCTTTGTAGTTGGAGTCGGTGTCCAAGGTGTCGGAGAAGTTGAGCCGCAAATCTTTCTCCACGGACACTCTGGTGATAGCTCGGCTGCTCAGCATGTACTGGAAGTTGTTCGTACTTGCTTCATTTTTACTGATGTGCATTTCTTTGCCGTTTCCCAGGTTGAAGCTCAGGGTGGGGATGTTTTATCTGGCAGATGGTTGACAAACAGGAGGAGCAGAAGCTGTCCTAGGATTGCTCCTTGGGATACTCCTGACGTCGAGGGCCTCCACTCCTACCTTATTCTGTTTACTTTAGTTCAGAACTGCCCCCTTCCAGGTACTCCTTGAACTATGAGAGTGGGGGTTCACTTATGCCAGCCGACATGATCTTGTGAAGCAGTACTGTGGGTGGGACACTGTCAAATGCTTTGGCTAGGTCCAGAAATACAACATGTACCGGTTTTCTGTTATCCCAGCTTTGTGTCCAGTCATCCCAGGCGGTTAGTAAGTTGGTGGCACATGGGCAACCTCTCCGAAAATCATGCTGAGCAGTATGGACAGTGTTTTCCATATTGAGGAATTCCCAGATAGTGTCAGCTACCAGGCTTTCCAACACTTTCGACACAATAGGGAGTAGAGCAATTGGTCTGTAGCTGCTAGGGCTTTTGCTGTCTCCTCCCTTGAAGATGAGTGACAAGGTGGCAAGCCCTCTTCCATTCTTTAGGGAGTTTGCACGAGTCTATTGAGTGCTCAAAAAGGTTGCGAAGTGGTTTAGTAAGCACCTCGGCACAGTTTTTAGGAACCACTGGTTTCAGGTTATCGCAGCCAGGGGACTTGCCCGGACGTAGCCTAGATAGTTTCTCGAACACTTTTTTCACTGTAGAGACGTGACAGAGGTATTCGTTATTTACGACCTGGTCGGTGTCGCAGCGAGTCGGTGTGGATCTTATGTCAGTGCTGAGTTGGGCTTGGAAGTGTGAGCTCAAAAGCTCGGCAATCTCTAGACTGCTTAGTACACTCCCGTCATGGCCTGTGACAAGATTCACTCCCTTACTGGTCGACTTTCTTCTCGACATGAAGCGGTACAGTTTTTGGGGTTGCTTTGTAACCTCGCCGCCAAGTTTGTTTGGTAGGAAAATCTGTCGTTACGCACTCTAATGTTACAGAGGTTGCGAATCCTTTTGAGTTCAAGAAGTCAGACTCCCTGCGTGATGTACGCCACTTGAACCAAGCCTTTTCTTGCTCCGGATAAGCCTCTGTCCCACGCTTTAACCATGAGGTTCTCATTGATTGTCTGTGTGTTACTTCTGGTACACTGTGACTGATGGCCCCAGTGATTATTTTCTTCACCTCCAACCAGTGTTCATCTATTGTGAGATGAGTCCAGTCCACTGGCCATGATGCATTCATGAGGTAGTCCCTCATGGTCTCATAGTTGGCCTTGCTGTAGCAAGGGAAGGTGTTGGGCGTCTCCAGTTGCAGAGCCTCCCTAGTTATCATGGAGAAGGTGATTACAGCGTGGTCACTGAGGCCAAGGGGAGGTTGGATGCAAACATCCTCAATGAGAAGTTCATCGTTCGTCAGAACGTAGTCAAGGCGCGATGCGTTTCCGTTAGGTCCCCAGCGTGTAGCATCACCCACTTTCTCTGAGAGGCCAGCAGTCTTAATTGCATCCTTCAGCTTCTGATTGAAGGATCTGATGCGTCTCCCTTCCGTCTCGAAGAGGATGGACGGGGTGTTGAAGTCGCCGGCAATGACTACGGAATCGTAATTTGCAGAGGAAGTCGTTAAGATAGCCTTGATGATCATTTCCTTATGTGTAGGGGAGCTGGGGGGGCCGATATATGACTCCGAGCAGGTATTTGGTACTGTGGAGAGTGAAGTAGCACCATAGAGACTCTGGGAGCTGGGTTAAGGCCGTATCGCTAACCATCCTTGCCTTTAAACAGAGTTTACGTAGATAGCCACTCCCCTCCTGCTCTATGTTCCCTGTCCCTGCGGAAGAGTTCCATGCCAGTAACATGCATCTCTTCGTCGGAGATGTCTGGCGAGAGCCAGGATTCGGTGATGAATATGATGTCGGAGTGCTGATGTGCACGCAGCGTCCTCATTTCTGCTACCTTCCCTCTTAGCCCCCTAACGTTGCTGTACATACATATTAGAGTGTGCCTGGTGAGGGGGAGGTCTGGTTGTGTATTTTCGCAGGATGACGCTTATGTGGTTGGGTCTACCCTCGCCAGTCCTCATAGGACTGGCATTGTTCCGTTTTTTGTGTTTTGTTTTAACTTGGGTGGGGGCTGTGGCAGTGGTGGCTTCTTTACTTGATGTATCTAACTCACTGGTCAGCGCCTGTGTGACGACCACTGACTCCAGAGGTCTTGGTGGTTGCCGTCTCTCCTCTTGCCTTGTGGGTCTAGGCTTACTTTCACATATACGTATTGAGCCACCCATGCGATCTTTCGCATTATACCATGCTGTAGAACGTCTGTGAGGGAGGCATATGAGTCGAACTGGACGGCGAGTAGTCTGGGATTGGGTATGGTCTTCAGGTGCGCTGGCCTTGGCAGTCTACTGACGCTGTTGGCCGGTATACTGTTGAGACCAACTTTGGTTGAGAGCCATTGCCATTGTTGGACGTCGTGAAAGTACCGATCTTTGACCGAGCGGTCACTTGGCAATTCTGGAATCCCATGTACAACTATAGTGTTGTTTCTGTTGGGATTTCCAACCGCTGACTTTCTCTCCTCCTCTCTTATTGACCATGGCTTGTCAGGCCTGGCCCGAATTTTACAGGCATTAACAACGTCCGGTTGTCGCGAGAGGAGAAGTGTGTCTTCAGCCTCTTTGGTAGTATTTAGGGACACACGTAAGGGGGTGGCTTATCTCGGGGTGCACGGCTTCCTCGAGAAAGGCGACATAAAGTTGCAGGGAGGGGAGGGAGTCCCAGCATCTGACAGTAGTCGGTCCACATTCGGCTGTCAAACCGTTCCCTCTCGACCAACAATGAGTCTGTCGATACATCGACGTTGAACAAAATGATCGAGTTGGTCCTCCTGTGACCTGGGTTCGTTGTGGGTGGCACGCCCGACTTCCCAATGGGTTTGAGTAATTCCACTGGTTGTTTCTCAGTCACGGTGTGTGGGGTGTTTGGAATGGGTTTCGTAGAGGCTTCAGCGGTCGATGTCTTTGGCCATGCGCTTGACGTCCCCTGGGGCCGGGTAGGAGGTATGGAGACTTGACCTAATATGGTCCCCACGCGAGGTGGCGTGCCCGCAGCTGGAGCTCTAGGTCTGTTTCCAGGTCTCTCTGTGTTATCCTTTGGTGTTAACCCTACTTTATTCGAGGATGCTGGTAGCTTTTGCGTGGCGGAGAGCATCTCCTTCAGGCTTTCTGTGCGGAGTGCGGGCATTTTCCTGCACTCTGGACAGATGTACCAGAACCACTTGCATGGTTGTCTCTTCATCAGCTTATAGTATTGTCGGGGGACTTTGGTGTCGCAGTGGCAATGCGCCCATCGTTGACATAGGTTGCATGCAAATGCCTCATCGACTACCGAAACAACTTTGGTGCAAACACTGCAGCCATCGGGTGTCGTAATACAGCCTTCCTTCCATGAATAAGGTGCTACGGATTGTGGCGAACTGCTGTGGCTGCCTTGTTCTGAAGCCTTTTACGTCGTCTTCTATTTCAGGCATGGTATGATCCTTGCTCAAGATAGGACTAGTTTGTGACGGGCTAGTGCTACTCTGTGTCACCTGTCTGATGGCGACTGGAATTCTAGAAACATGGGTTGGCCACTTCTTTAGAAGTTCGGTGTTCTGCCCTACCTCTGTTTGTCTTCTAGTACAGACTAGTGTGTTGTTTCGGGTGTTAT